CATGAATTTTGTTTTATTCAAATTTAAAGTTGATAAGTCAAAATCTAGATTATTTTTAACTATTGCTATAGCTTTTTCAGCATTCATGATTGATTCTGACCAAGTGTTTCCATTGACAATTATCATTGTATCATCAGCATATGAGAAAATATATCCTTCAATATTTGTTTTTAGTAAGTCATTGATATAAATAATGAAAAGAATAGGACCTAGAACAGTTCCTTGAGGAACACCACAAATTGAATGTGTTTTTATGCTGAACGTTTCTTCTAATTTTGTAAATTGTTCTCTTTCTGATAAGTAGCTCTTCAATAATTCCAAACTTTTACCACGTATGCCACAATTTTGAAGTTTTCTAAATAGTACATCATGCGAAACCGTATCAAATGCTTTTTCCAAATCGAGAAATATTCCTATTGTTTTTTTGTTATCATCAAGAGATTTACTTATTGTACGTGTAACATGATATATTGAATTTTCTGCCCCTATTCCAGGTCTAAAGCCAAATTGATGAGGGGCAAGCATATTCTTGCTCTGTAAAAAGTCATATAATCTATTTTTCAAACATTTTTCTAAAAGTTTAGCAATATTATTAATTAAAGATATTGGACGATAGTTATCACAAATATTTGTACTAGATTCTTTATGTATTGGAATAATTGTAGACATTTTCAATTTTTTGGGGAATATGCCTGTTTTAAAACTCAAATTGAATAAATGAGTAAGGACAGAAGAAATTTCTTTTTTTATATTTTTCAATATTTTGTTACTAATTTGATCCGGCCAAGAAGAACATTTATTTTTCAAAGAATTTATTAAATCAGTTATTTCAGTTTCTTCAATAGGAGTAAGATATAAACTATCAGGACAATGAGTTACAGCCAACTTTTGGTATCCTTCAGGTACCTCAATTTGTCTTGATAATTTTGATCCTATATTTGTAAAGTGATTTATGAATATATTTGCAATTTCTTTTTGATCAGTTGTGATGAAATTATTATTTTCATTATATAGTTCATGAATGCTCTTTTTAGATACTTTGTTTTTTCCTGTCAGTTCATTGACTACTACTATTGGGTTGCCAGGTATAAACAGGTATTTTGGTCCTAGTTATTTCTACCTACTTGTTCAATATATGAATTGAACATTACATAAGCGCTGTTTCATTGCGAACAAAAGTTGACGAATCTAAAAAAATGAAATTTCAGAGCGAGTGTGAACGTGCGTCGATATTATTATTACAGATTTTCCATGAATTCGAAAAATCATTCTCTCATTACATTGTCGCATCTTGCATGAATACTTGAGGTAATATTATTTGTTTCATTCGTTTTTTCTTCGCATACTGACAGATTATATTGCCGACCTTGTGAAGGGATATAAAATGCGTACTTATTTCGAGGAGCCATTCCGATACAAATTATATCTCCAGGAGACGCAAAATACACTCACGAGGGCTCATTTTTTTTTCCTATAGGCTATTGTTATTTCAAAAAAATCAAATATGAGACGAATTTTTGAGGAAAAGAGGTAAACATACTCTTCTGATGGACTTTGTTCTCGTTTCAAAAAATATAGAACTAAAACGAGAGCATTTAGAGATTTCCATAGAATTTTCACATCATGTACCTATCGTGAAATCTGATATATCTTCTCACATCCTCCTTTCGTTCAAATTAGACCCATTGAATTCCTGAAACTCATAGAACTTATGGAACCACAAGATATGAAGTAGGTATTGCAAAATTTAGCATCACAAACAATGAAAAAAATGGTACAGGTAATCGTTACCAATAAATAACTGAAACATTAAACAGCTCGTTCACATGAGTGCATATACGAGCTATACCCTTCTACGAGAACAGCCTGAATTCATACATCCTTTGTTCTCTACAGGATACGAGATCTTCACAAGCCTTTGATATCGAAGGCAGATATTATAAATTTGGAGCTAATCCTCCATCAATCATTTTCCATCCCATTGTCTCAGGTGATGGCAAAGCTATATGAAACTTCACAGCATCGGAAGTTGAACGGAGTTGTTCCGGTGTGTTGCCCTTGTGAATTAATTTGTTTCTTACTCCATCACAATGACTAGCGATATATATTCACGCATCCATAAGTTCACCTAATAATATTTTGGAGTTTTTCGGTTGATTCGAAATTATATCCAGTCAAATCTCCGAAACCTAGACTTCTGAGATGTGAATGATTCGAAGAAAATACTCTGAATACATCGAATGTGCTTCAACATACCAATGTCATACAATCAGATTGCATTTGCAATCCGAAAATTTTTCATTTGAATATTTATCTGTGAGGACAGCACTCGACTGGAAGAAGATGAAATTATTATGAATTCGTCCATTATCAGTAGATGAACAAATACTGTTATGCAATATCCTAAAGATCACCAAGAATCACACCAAGCAGCTGTGGCTCAGAGGGAGCGCGTGATATTAAATAGTTTGAGGAGACATTGAAACGGACATACCAATTTAAGAAAAAAACCTCATCACTATGTAGTTTGGCAAAAGCCTTGTTGTTGGGATTATTTTCTCGTAAAAATAAATAGTTCACAACATTCAGTCATTACTAGCGCCTACAGACAGAAGAAAACAAATGATCATCGAGGTGGGGGAACGCTACAGCGTGAGACTGTGGCAGCGACTTAATTATAATAATATTGATAGGTAAATAACCAATACCCTTAATTGAGCAAAATATGGTCTATAACGGCCGATCCTGAAGAGAAAATTATCGTTGAAATGGCGAATCAACATCGGCCTCAACAGTAAATGGTGTCTTAATGGTTGGCTCGAAAGGAAATATTCCTCCTACGTAGGGAAGGAGACTTGAATACTGTTTTTGAATAACCTCACTTCACTTGGCCTAAGTTAACCTCCTTTCAAGAACTATATTTTTCGAAAAATCACTCGAGAGAACAGAATAAACAAAAAACCGCCGTTGCAGGCATTGAACTTGGGTCGTCGCTGTGCCACTTTGATACCCAAGGAACTAGGCCACGCACGAAATTCTCAATACATATTGGTCATTCAAGAACATTATTTGTGGAATAATCGTTCACGAATTTTTCGAAACTGTGCTCACTTTTTCTTGATATCAACAAAATACTATCATACTGAGTGAAAATATATTTTTTTCTTCAAATGGAATAATCTAAATTCCAATCGATAATATTTATGGATGATATACATTTCAGGATTCATATTGACAGACTTCGAAGAATTATGGACAAAAATATACAGGATTGATCATTTTAATCTATTATGAATAATAGTTCTTTCCGGAAGCCGCCTCCAAAAAAATGGTTTCAACAAAAGTTGAAGGATTCAATGGGCGCCTTAGAATAATTACCATACTCACAACCCCTCCCCCTCGGACCCCATACGGCCCTGGATGAAATGTTTTTTTTTCTTTTAATAGGAACCCAATTTTTTCACAACGGATTCTGGTTCTACAGAAAAAAACAAATGAAAAATGTCTAGCAAATTCTTTTTTGGGCCCCTTGAAGGACCCCAAATTTTCAATTTTGGTATTTGAGATGCAATAAATTTTAGGCTCAGGTCAAACCTATGTTTTGAATATGATAACATAAGTGCAGTTCCAGCATATTACCGTGTTTTCAAGCAAACCCTCAATCTGGTTAACGAATTACATGCCAATGAAGATTCTTCGTTTTCTTCAACTCAAATACCAAAATTAAAAATTTGGGGCCTTTTAAGGGGCCCAAAAAAGAAGTTGCTATAGAAACATTTTTTATTTGTTTTCCTCTGTAGGTTCCTATTGACAAAAAACATTCCATCTCCCAGGGCCGTATGGGGGCCCTGGAGGAGGGGGTTGTGAGTATAGGATCACTCTTTGGTCCCCATCGAATCCTTCAACTTTTGTTTGAACCATTTTTTTGTTAGCGGCTCCGAGAAGAAATATTATCCATAATTGATTGAAATGATCTACCCTGTATATAACTCATAATATTTTCATAATATGAAGAAACAGTGAACACAGATTCAAAATATTGTTGAAAATTATTCCAAAAAAGTTCTCGCGCTGTCATTTCTCCAACGCGATAATTATTTGTTACCTCCTGTCTGTAGGTGCTAGCAGTGTTCAATAGCCGTTGTCAAAAGCAGAGTCGAATATAACCCTGAAATGAACACTTCGATCTGGAGATAGGCCGGAAGTCTAATAGCGAATTCCAGGAACCAAGGGAGTGTTTCTGCACTGAATGTATATGTTTCCTGTGTTAAACAGAGGTAGATATACACTCAGTGGAGAAACACTCCACCAGTTCCTGCCAATGGAATTCACTATAACTTCATTTCAAATTAAGGAGCACCAATCAAGAAATAACGATACACCAGATTGGTCAAGTCAAAATCTATATCTGGCCTTGATAAGTTACTTTGATGCTGATAAAACCTGCTCTTTCCATCAATAGTGAATTTGCCAATGAAGTATTTACCACCAAGGTCTTGACGAGAGTTTATCTATAATAGTAAACCAAGTATTTCTCGAAGCAGTGGTCTGACGTGGTTGAGGTTGAAATGATTCAATAATAAAGGGAATGAATATTTCTGTTTTCTTTCCTGTTGCATGAAACTCATTGGGAGGATATAGATAGAGAAGGTAGATATTTTACTCGATTTCGAACATAACGAATTTTGATAGAGATTTATTCAAAACATTGTGAGATGACGATAGGATGTGCTAACTGGGCTCGTCAAAATTTGAAGTTCGAATTATTGTTTGTAAAACAAGTTCCCGAATTTCATTGATAATTCATTATCCAAATCCTCTAGAGAAGTTCGTTTACTTGCTTCTCATCACGATTGTCTCAAACTTTTTTTTTGAGGAGAAATATGGACTAGTCTATTATCATTATCCGTTGAAACAGTTAGTGAAATATCACTGTCTTAGAACCTTATATTCAAAATTTTTTCATGTGATACCAATATTTTCACATCACATTAACTCACCTGTTTGTCTTTCCACATGAGGACAATAACGCAAAGGTTCAGGAAGAATCCAAAGAAGCCGATGAAGAACAACGTAACGGAAGCGGCCAGATAACCGGCTTCTGTCATCAGCACATCTTCATCAGCCTCATAGTTGGTGGCCAGCACCCTCCTTGTAGTGTTCGTCACTCTTTCCAATAATATTTGTGTCATCCGGCAGACGTTGAGTGGACACGAGCTTATAGCCCAAGAGCTTGTAAGAAAATAAATAAGAATTAATAATAAAATTTTACGTAATATGTGTTGTGGGAAGCATATATTACGCACGAATTCCATGAGTGCGTGATTGCTTTACAACACGCATTACGTACTATACTTTACCTACTACCATATAGTACATCAAAAAAGTTTGGACAAATAGTCTGAATTATAATTCTTGACAGTTATGTCATCCACTATTGACGGTGATAACGCGATCATGACATACCTTATACTGGCGGAATTAACGAAAACTGTGCGATGTGCTTACTCTGCGTAAAGAGCTACTTACTTACTGAGGCTGTATCTGATGCGTTCTTGCCTACTTTCTATAGTGGCCGTAGGTAACAGTTATTTATGTATCAAGGGCGTAAAGTAGGCGTTTATGGCCTGTGGCGTGAATAATGGCCCGATGGCGCTAACCGAGGGCCACTACACGCTGGAGACTATAAACGCATTTCACGCACGTGATACATACAGAATTTTATGCACTAGTGGTTCATTTTATGACTCAAGAGTGATGACTATAGATTTCGATAAACTAATATTCCCTCAAATTCAATTTGTTACGTATAAATTCAGTTATCAAGAGGAGCGTAATGTTCATGGATGATTTTCTTATAAAAATTATCGTACGAATATTGCAATTATCGTAATAGTGAAATTTTACAATATGCATACTCACTATATATCTACCTAATTTTGACGTTGTCAAGCGAGCTGATGGTTGTTGTCTATATCGATACTTTCAGTAACAAGCTGTATTGTCATTCTTTGACTGTAAAGTAGAAATTAGCGATAATAATAATAGCGAGACTATGGAATCTGATAAAGAAGAAGTTTATGATATGCCTACCGCTGGATATATTAGAATCTAGGAAAATAATCATAGGTTATTCATGAATCAATATGTGGATAAACGGAAACTGAGAACAGCAAGCAGTAAAGTGTACTTTACGGCCCGTGCATGGGCCATAATGAGCCCGCGGGCGGTGAAGTGCAACTTAACGCCCGCAAAACCGGGCGGTAAAGTGCACTTTACGGCCCGCTAGTGCATAGAGAATAATACGCATATCATTCAATTAGTTGAGAGTTGAGTTACCAAAGGTTATGAAAGTGCTACACCGATTGGCCAGGATAGTGTTGGGGTGCCATATACAGGGTGAGTCGAAAATGTCCACCGAGCTTTTTGGGGGTGATAGAACATTGAAAAATAAGTGTAGTTTGATGATTAAACTCATGGCCCAGAATGCATATTAAGGGAGATATATCTTTCCAAAGTTGATAGAATTAAAATAATTTCTCCGCATAACTTCTGAACGATGCAAGCCACCCGATTGAAATTTGCATGAATGTATGTAGTCAAAATACATCTTTTCGTCACACTTCTACATTTCTGATATTGTTATAAAGGGTGTTTTCAGAAGGAGAGTCATGATTTTTTGTAGAAAACTTTTTTCCCCGTATTATTTCCGGTGAAAAAACAGAAGCATTTGATGAAGCGAAGAAAATTACATGAAAAAGGTACTCTTATTCAAATACAAAAAATTGAGCCGTTCGTGAGATATTTGAGTTTTTGTAGTTACATGATATCAGCAGATTGATTTTATTCATCGCGAGATTCATCGGTATAACGATATTTCAGCAGGCCATGAACAATTTTGTTTTTAATTTTGTCGATAATATCACCTCCCTGTGCCACGTTACTGAGCAATAAGTACATAGCATAAGTCTGTCCCAACAAGGTTTGAATACAAATAAAAGTTTGATAATGTTTTTGGTACTTTTAATTAATACATAATTTTGAATGGAAGAAAAAGAAAAAATACAAATTAAAGTAGCTGTTCGAAATGTCCACCGTTTTCGGTTATACATAATCTGAGGCATTTACGTAAATTATTCATCTAACCGTTCATAGTTTGGTGATCATTTTTCAACAACGTAAATTCGTCCACAATTTTTTGCCTCAGCTCCTCAACATTCCGAATTTCGCTTGAATAAACCCTAGATTTCATGTTACCCCAGATCGAAAAATCTAGTGGATTGAGGTCAGGCGAACGAGCGGGCCAGGAAATAGGAGCGCCTATGCCTCGTCCTATCCACCTATCAGAAAAATTATCATTGAGCCATTCACGTACAACTCTTACATAATGAGGTGGTGCTCCATCATGCATAAAGCAGATTTCCCTACGTATGTTTAGAGGAATGTCTTTTAATATCGTACCTAACTCATTTTCTAAGAAGTTGAGGTACATTGCACCATTCAGAGACCCTGGGAACATGTAGTATCCAACGAATTTGTCTCCTGAAGTCGCAGCCCAGACGTTCACTTTGAAATTATATTGAAAATGCGTTACTTTAACAACGTGTGGATTTTCCTCAGCCCAGAAATGAGTGTTGCGCGAATTGAAAACACCGTTTCTTGTAAAAGTTGCTACGTCTGTGAACAAAATTTTGTTTAAAAACTCAGGACATCTTCGAGTTTGTTCCAGCAACTCTTCGCAAAATCTCAATCTTATTTCATTGTCTCGTGGTAACAGTTGTTGTACCTGCAAATAATGATAAGGGTGTAGCTGTTGCTCTCTGAGAATCCTGGTTACATTCGCTTGTGTTGTGTCTATTCGTCTTGCTAATTTCCTTGTACTTATTTCCGGATCCTGTTCCACAGTATTTAATACTGCTTCTTCAACTTCTACAGTTCTCGCACTTTTGGGTCGGCCACCATTTCTATTATTGGTTTTCAAACATCCTGTTTCACGCAGTCTATGTACAATCTTCAAAATTGTTCTCGAATTTGGAACGCGTCGAGCGGGAAACATCTCTGCATATCGTCTCACAGCAGCATTTGCATTTCCGAAGCCCTCGCCAAGCATTAGAAGCATATCAGTTTGTTCAGAGAACGAGTAACCTGCCATATTTCTTGAAATCTCAGTTGATAATCGCAGTGATAAATGACACAGAAAAACCACACGAACAAATCAACTACAACAATGTTGACTCGAATGTTGATGACATGGACGTCAAAATTGAGAACAAAATTATTCATCATGGCCTGCTAAAATATTGTTACCGATGAATCTCGCGATGAATAAAATCAATCTGCTGATATCATGTAACTACAAAAACCTCGACAAAAACTCAAATATCTCACGAACGGCTCAATTTTTTGTATTTGAATAGGAGTACCTTTTTCATGTAATGTTTTTCGCTCCATCAAATGCTCCTGTTTTTTCATCGAAAATAATACAAGAAAAATAGTTTTCTACAAAAAATCATGACTCACCCTCTGAAAACACCCTTTATTACAATATCAGAAATGTGGAAGTGTGACGAAAAAATGTATTTTGACAACATACATTCATGCACAAAATTTCAATCGGGTGGCTTTCATCGTTCAGAAGTTATGCGGGGAAATTATTTTAATTTCATCAACTTTGGAAGGATATATCTCCCTTAGCATGCATTTTGGGCCATGAGTTCAATCATCAAACTACCCTTATTTTTTAATGTTCTATCATCCCCAGAAAGCTCGGTACACATTTTTGACTCACCCTGTATATATGAACGTAAACCTGCCATATTTTCGTTTTCTCCCATGATCCGAAAAATGTTCAAGGGTGTGCATTCAATATACAGAGTGACTAGAAAATGATATTGTCATATGCGCTGGATTATGTATTTTTTATTTCATGTATGTTCAAAATATGATCTACACATTCAATTATACCTTGTATTGAATCATGGATATTTAGATAGCATACTGATAAATATGAAGAAGAATAATTAAATGTAATGAGGTATATCTACTAGAATTTGGTCACAAGTATGAAAACATGATTTTCAACATCTATTATTTGGATATGACTACACCATGGACATATAAACAAATGAAGTATAACGGCATGGAACTGCTAACTGGGCCGACATGTGACAGGCGATGCGACATTATAGTAGCATTCAGATGCCATATATGCAATGCTTCGATGGAAGCTGTAATGAGTCTGCTTCCTGTTCTTATGGGATTTGAAATCAAATCAGGTGAGGTCAGGTTAGAATAGGCTTTCAAAAATCAGTGTTGAAGCTTTTCTCCTCCTCGCCATATCTATGATTGTCCGATACAAACAGGAATATTCTACTATACTTATGAAGCCAAAAATACACATGAGTTTAAAATCGAGCAGTTTTCTTCTGAGGTTCGTACAAAAAAAAGGTGGATTCCACATCTACCACTATCCCCATCCTCATGCAAGGACACCACAGTGGCGACAACGGGCGTGACATTCTGATAGATATGGATATGGTTGAGTATGAAATACAAATCGAGTCGAATGCAAAATATTATTGCTCTTTCGAGTAAAGAATTAATATTATATACTTCTCAGGAGGGGTGAAAGAACTTACATTCAGAACTCCATGCACCACGCATGAACAATTTGATAATGATCAACGTTCATGGACCGAAGGACATGTTTCGAAGGATCAATACTTCATCATCAGCAAATTTATAAGAAGAAGAAAATCTGTGAGAAGAAAACAACGCTTATGTTAGTTTTCAAGTATTGTTGAAGAGTCTGAATATACCTCGGAATATACCTACCATCATTCGTGGAAAAAGGAAATTACTTAAATAACCCAAGACACTATTTGAAACCGCACATGGTGCGGGTAGGTAGCTGTTAGGGAACAAACAAACAAGCTCAATAAGAGTCTGAATTTGACAAATTGAATTCTGAATTCAGAGTTCAGGGAACACAAAGCATGATTTCTTCGCGACATCTTGATTTTATATTTTGATAAGAGTGGTATGGTCGTATATTACGTCATAGTTGATAGCAATTCGTGCTTGAAGCCAAAAACTTCCTTCCATAACCAAAAAACTGATGCGATAATGATGTATCTAGATTTGTTAATCATCTGCTGAATCATATTCGTAGTGGCAATGAAGGAGCATACTA